AGGAAGCCTAGGTCAGAACACCCACCTGGTTCTCTTGCCAAAGGGAGGAACTAGAACTCACAATGTCCTGCTTTCTAGCCTGGCACCTGAACCAACCTGGCGGTCTTTACACCACCCTAGCTCTCCTTGGATAAAGTTGGAGAACTTCATGTTAGAAAGCCTTCCAAGCTTTCAAAGTGAAGAGCTGGCAAACCCACCTGAACTCTCTCCCCTCCCCTCCTCCTCCCCAAAATTGTGTTCCCATGTGTTTGTGCATGTGTGTTTACACGCACAGCCACCGAGAAGCTAAATTCGAGCATCGGGTCGCTATCGGTGCCTTGATTTAAGGCTCCCAAATCATCATCATTTAATAATCCCTTGCGGGGTGGAGTCTGGGCAGCTGAATGCAGCTGAGTGATTACTGGCCGGATGCCTTTCTTGTCACCAGTGCGGAGTTTTGTTTGGCAGATAATATTCTCATTGTGCCCAGAGAGAGAAAGATCTGCCTCTGCCTATGATCGAACCCACAGCCTCCTGATTGTGAGGGGAGAGCTCCACCTCTAGGCCAACCGCACCACTCATTTAAGGGTTAGGCTGTCTGTACTCACCCCACCCCCCCTGACGTTTAAAACTGTGACCGCTGAAATTTCTCCATTGCTCTAACCCTTGAAAGAAAGAAAAAGGACCGACTCTAACCGCTTATACCCCCTGACCTTATTGATTGCAGCCACCGTTGCCGTCTCCTCGGCTGCCACTGCCGCGCCACCACAATTGCAGTCTTCCTCCAGTGTTCCTCCACCTCCTCCTCTTCCTCTTCCTCCTCCAAGACATCCGCCAGCAATGACCTTCGCCAACGCAACTAGCCCGGCCCATCCAGTGAAACTGCGGGGCCAGGCTACCACCCAGGGCCTCCAGCTAGGGCAGGCCCAGCCACAGGCTCCCCCACCCACCATCCAACAGAGTGTCCAGCCTCAGAGGCTCCTGTTAACCAGTCAGGCACAGGCTCGGTTACCCAGTAAGTGCCCCTCTGCCCTGCTTCCTAGGTGTCTCCAGCTTCCTTCTCTCCCTCCTCCTCCTCTTCCTCCTCTTCCTCCTCCCCTCCTCCTTTCCAAAGCTTCCCTGAGGTTAAGTTATTAGGCACCCCTAACCATGTGTACAGGGATCCGCGTAGAGGTATAGAGGTATATTTGGACGGGGGCTCGGTTTGCTCCTTCCCTTTCCATTCTCCTCCCCCTTTGGAGTTTGCCTTGCTCACCATTTTAATTTGCTTTATTTTGGGAACGAAAAACTTTGGGGTGCAACATAAGAGCCACAGTGGCACAGTGGTTAGTGCAGTACTGCAGGCGACTTCAGCTGGCTGCTAGCTGCAGTTCGGCAGTTCGAGTCTCACCAGGCTCAAGGTTGACTCAGCCTCCTGCCCTTCCGAGGTGGGTAAAATAAGGACCCAGATTGTTGGGGGCAAGAGGCTGATTCTGTAATCCACTTAGAGACCGCTGTAAAAAGCACTGTGAAGCGGTATATAAGTCTGAGTACTATTGCTATTTAGATAAGAAAAAAGGGCTCTGAAAATTGATGTGAACACACAGGTGGTCCTTGACTTAAAACCGTTTTGTTAGTGACAGTCCGAAGTTAACAGCACATTCAAAATACTTGCAGCATCAAAATCTCGGCAACTGGCATGTACTTACGACAGTTGCACTATCCTAGGGTCATGTGATCCCCGCTGGTAACCTTTCCAGGCGGTTTCCGGACAAGGTCGACCCGGGAGGGGGGGGCAGCTGGATTCACTTAATGACCTCCGGATTCTGCGGCAATTCATTTAACCAATGTGGCAACATTTAAAAGGCTGGGAAACGGGGCGCGGCTCTCTTAAGGACCGCCTTGCTTAGCCGCGTAAACTTTGGGCTTTGTTATTGAGGTTAAGTCAAGGATTACCTGCACATTAGCGGTGTCAACTTAATCTCCTTTCTCTTTGCATGTTTCTTCTCTTCGGTCAGCCTTCCTCGGAAACTAAATTTTGGGAAAGGAAAAAAAAAGCACATTTCCTCCTCCTAATTTAATTCTTTCATTATTATTTTTTTTTTTTTGAGAACACTAATCTCACAGGAAGGAACCACGCTCCGTAAGGAAGAATGGGAAGCTGGGCTTAGGAACAGGCTAAAGCTATTTCTATTTCTGATGAATAGATGAATTATTAGCACCTCTGGAGCAAGGGTGGGCGGCTCTGTCCCCTTTCCACCTGTAGGCTTCAACTCCCAGAATTCCTTAGCCAGGGATTCTGGGAGTTAAAGTCCACAGATGGTATAAAGGAGCCAGAGGCGTCCACTCTTGCTTTAGAGTGACTCTCCAGCACTGTTGTACTAATGTTCTCCCCCCACCCCCATCTCCCCAGGGAACCCACTGCCTTTATAAAAGTCAAACAAATATGCCACACTCTACTCCAAAACTTGAGAGATTCGACGTTTGTATACAGGCATTAAAAATCCTGATTTTTTCTGTCCCTTTCTGAGTTGATTTTACAGAGAAACTCCATAAATTCAGGTTAACAGAGCCTGAATTTCATGTTTCATTCATGGCAGGGACACCTACGGACACACTCAAAAAATTGTCACTTGTCACAACCAATAAACCTTCAATTCTTCATCAAAGGGAGTCTGTGAAAGATAACCTTCTGTGTGCTGAAAAATACATTTGCTGAATCCAAGTCCTTTTGGCTAGAGCTGCATGAGCTTACCGACCTCCCCAGTAGAAAAATTCGTCATTGCTAATTGGACGTTTCCAATGAATTGGGGAAATTAAATCCTTGGGAATGAATCTGCTTTCACGTAGATTTCCAAGCCCAAATTACTGTGGGGGGTACGACACCCTTAAAACCCCTCGGTGTGTGTGTTCTGTTAAGATATAGCCTATTGTGCCTTAAAATGGCTTCTACTGTACTGCTGTAAAATGGCTTCTGCTGTACAGCGCAGTGGAGTTGCCATGGTAACAGCTTCACAGTACTCCACAAGGGGGCTCCCTCTGGTAAGGGGGAAAATCCAACTTAGAAATTATGTTTGGTCCCGATATTTCCCCCCCTATAAATAAATACCTGGGCAATGCTGGGTCATCAGCTTGTGTATATGTATGTATGTATGTATGTATGCTTGCATACATGCATGCATGTACAGTATATCACAAGTGAATACACCCACTCACATATGTTCTTATTTTGGGCTTGGAGTTCAATGCAAAAGTAGATTGTGTATATATACACATAAACATACTCTTCTTTGGTTCAATTATTCCATGTGCCCTGTGCATTGTTAATTCCTGCGTTAGTTTGCTTTTGAAAAGGCAGTAGAGGTTCCGACCTTAAGGACTTTTCTTCTCTCTCTTTTCTGAAGTGTCACGTGAGTTTTTTCCAGGTCACGCTTGTTAATCCGTGAAAGTGGAAGGATCTCTGCCCTCTGCCTGCCCCGATCACCCCACCGTTCCGCATTTAAAGAAACTGAGCCCAATGAAATTGGCCCGTCACACCTGTATCAAAGCTGTACCTGTGGAACTTCTTGGATGACACTTCCCTCCTCCCTTCCCCTCCCTCCCTCCCTCCGCTCCCACCTCTGCATTCTCTCTACATCTCTGCATGTGGTTCACGTCCTCCGTTTTACTAACCGCCACGACAGGAAACCAGGGGATCTCTGGGAGAAGCCCCCCCCCCACCTGCCTTGCCCTCTCCTTCTTCACGGGTGCTTCCACCCCTCTTCCCCAGGTGGTGAAGTGGTCAAAATAGCCCAGCTGGCTTCCATTGCAGGGGCACAGGGCCGGATCACACAGCCGGAGACACCGGTGACGCTGCAGTTCCAGGGAAACAAATTCACTCTGTCTCACAGCCAACTCCGCCAGTTGACCGCAGGACAGCCTCTACAACTGCAAGGTGAGCAGCTTTGAAGTATACTTCTGGGGAGACTCCCCGTCCCCAGCATTTTTCTCGGTTGGGATGGGTGATCTACCCGTGCTTCCTGGGATGTATTTTGGATTTTGCGTGGTCTTCCGGTTGTAGACATTAAGGGCAATTGCATCCCTGTTTGGTTTGGTGGCAGCAGTGCCTCAGATAGAAAATCCCTACAGAGAGTAGTGAGGGCAGCAGAGAAGATTATGGGAAGCTCACGTCCCTTTATTCAGGATATTGCTTATAAGCGCTATGTGCTTAGAGCTCAAAGTATTGTTAGAGACCTCCCCACCCTACCCATCCCATAGTCTGTTTCTGTTGCTCCCCTCTGGGACGAGGTTTCGAAGTATTTCTAGCAGGACTACCAGATTCTGTTACAATTTTGTTTCCAAGTCTGGTAAATTCTCAAGATTCATTTTTCTCGCCATAAACATGTATACATCCAATCTAAACGGTTGTTTCTCTGTGTCATAGAATATATGTGGGTATATACATACTTTTGTATTTACCTATTTATTTATTTTGTCATGTTTATGTAGGGTAAATTGGAGGTGGTGACCCTTTAAGAGCTGGATGCAACAAAATTTCATTTTTAATGTATGACAATTTGCATACATTCAAAGTGACAATAAAGTCTCTTCTCTTCTCTTCTCTTCATCAAGCTAATCCTCCTGGATCATTCCCATTTTGGAGATCCTTGGAGACCAACAGAATCCAGCCTTCATTAAGGCCACCCAAGGAATCCGTGGATTGTTTAACCATTCAAATAATTATCGATTTACAAGCAAAACTGAGCCCAAAATTTCTGCTGCTAAGCAAGGCAGTTGTTAAGCGAGTTTTGTTCCGTTTTACGACCCTTTTTTCCCCACGGAAGTTTAAGCGAATCCCTGCAAGGGTTAAATGAATTATGCGGCCTTAAAGCAAATCCATCTTCCCCCGTTGACTTTGCTTGTCGGAATCAGGCTGGAAAAGTCACCATTAGGTGATTACATATCCTTGAGACACTGCAACCATTGTAAAATGTATGTCAGTTTCCAAGGGCCCAGATTTTGATCATGTGACTGTGAGGATATTGCAGTGATGGTCAACTTTTCCTAAGATGAGATGTTAGAAAAAAATCAGTGGGACAGTCTTATTACTTCCTGAAAAAGTCAGTCCCCTTTTTCTTTCACTTTCAATTTCTACCTTCCAGGCAGTGTCCTGCAAATAGTTTCGGCTCCGGGTCCCCAATATCTCCGACCTCAGGGCCCCGTGGTGGTGCAGACGGTGCCCCAGCCAGGAACTGTCCAAAATGCTCTCAACGCACTTGGGAACCAGCACACAGTGGGGTTGCAGACTTCATCAGGAACTCAGCCAGGTAAGGACGCTTCCTTTGTGTCCATCTTTCTATCTTACCTGTCCCAATTCCTGTATTGCTGTGACACTCAGAGCATTCATGAGAGAACAGTGAACTTGTGCTGCCCGCCACTCACCCACATGTCAGGGTTGTTGTAGAGAGCTTTATTCAGTCTGTTCCCTATGTTCTGACTGAGGCTTCCCAAAAACAAGAAGCCGACTCCTCGTCCCGATAAAGCCCCTTTTATTTAATTTAAAGGGAATTCCTCTCAAGCAAAGTCCTGGTAAACAGTCTTTCATGGGATTTCACAACAGACTTTTAACAGGCTTGGAGAGATAAGGCTGAGGGGGCTTTCCTAGTCAGGGGGTGGGGGGGAGATGCGGCTCCTCTCTACATGCCAGGAGGTCCCCCTTTGCTTCGCCACTCCTACAGAGGCTGTGGTCCAAATTTGGGCCCTTTGATAAGGAGAGATCGGAGCTGATCGCAGATTTTGAAGATCAGGCTTCTGAGGTGCAGTTTAGACTGTTTTTAGAAACCTCCAGTGATGGAGCACCTGCAATTTCTGGTGGCAAGCTGTTCTACAGGTTAATTATTCTCACTGTTAGGAAACTTCTCCTCAATTCCAGGTTGTTTCTGTCTGGTTAGTTTCCATCCAGTGCTTCTTGTCCTGCCTTCTGGTGCTTTGGAGAATAATTTGACCCCCTCTTCTTTGTGACAGCCCCTCAAATACTGGAATACTGCTATCATGTCACCCCTAATTCTTCTCTTCTTTAGACTAACCAAACCCCAAATCCTGCAGCCGCACTTCATATGTTTTAGTCTCCAGGTCTTTGATCATCTTAGTTGCTCTTCTCTGAACTTTTTTTCCAAAGTCTCAACATCTTTTTTGTAGTAGGGTGACAAAAATTGGTTGCAGTTATTCCAGAAGTGCCCTTATTAGGGTTTTATAAAACGGCAAGGTAAGTAATCCAGCTGTTCAGTGAATCTGGCTTTCCCATTGATTTTAGTTGTCAGAGGTTGCCAAAGGTGACACTGCAACCGTCATAAATACGCTACGTCTCTGAATTCTGATCACAAGACCGCAGGGATCATGCAGTGGTCTGAAGTGTGAGAAACAGTCAGAAGTTTTTCACACTTAAGACTATTGAAATCATGACGGACCATGAGAAACGGCACCTTTTTTTTTAGTGCCGTTGTAACTTCGGGCAGCCACTAAAAAGACTGTTGTAAGTGGAGGACTGTCTGTGTGAATGTGACCTGTGGCCTCCACTGTTTGATTCAGAGTGCGAAGCCATTTATAAGGGGATGCTTGAGTCGTATAAACATTTTGATTGAGGTTTTAAGTTTGTGTTTGCAGGAAGAACCATGGGCGCTAATATGGCATCGGGAGACTCTGCTTCCTCCCTGAAGTCTGGCATTCATGGCGGTCATTCACAGGTATGGCCACTTATTTTGCATTTGCGAGCCACCAAGGCCTCAGAATTAACATCTCTTTCAAATCCATTTTTGGAAGTAATGGAGTATGCCCCATACCACAGTCTTAGGGTTCCTTCCTTCCTTCCTTCCTTCCTTCCTTCCTTCCTTCCTTTCTTTCTT